AACCTGGGATGCCTGGGTGGCTCAGCGGTTAAGCATCTTGCCTTCATCGGCTCAGGGCGTGATCCTGGAGTCCTGGGATCAAGTCTTGCATCAGGTTCCCTGCATGGAGTCTGCTTCTCCCTCTGCCTATGTCTCTGCCTCTGTGTCTCTCATGAATAAATAAAATCTTTTTTTAAAAAAAGGCTTAAAACAACCTGATTCATGGATACAGGTGTTCACTGTACAATAAAATTTTATACAGGTTGAAAAATTTTCAAAATTTATTAAAAAAAACCATGATGAAAGCATTCACTTGAATGTAAAGATTCTATAGTATTGTTATATTTCCTGAATGTTTGGTACTTACCATCTCAAAGTATAGTTGTTCCCTATACAATTGTTCCTATAAAACAAATTCCTGAGCTGATGCTTTTGGCTTGACTAAGATTTCACAAAGCTTATAAGCTTTTACATTATCTTAATGATCTATAATTTCCCCCAATCAAGCAACAGAATAACACACATCTCAAGCTTCATGTGACCCTGCAACTAGGATCTTGGGATCTTTACTACTTTTTGAAATTGTTTGGATATAAGATCATGTAATCAGAGTCAAAGCCAAAGTTCTTCCAATGCTCCTTACCCCCCCAGTTCAAATCTCCAGCCACCTTCTTCATGGACCAGCCTCCTGCTGTTCTGGAAAATACCAGGCTTGCACCAGCTATATAGGGCCTTCTCTGCACAGAACAAGATACTCTTCTTACCCAAACATCTCCCCATCTCCAAGGCTAAAGCCCTCACCACTAAGGTTTTGTTCAAATGCCACCTAATTAATGAAGCCCTTCTGCTCTATTTAGAATGGCAACCAGCTCTCCCTACCTACACTACTGAACTCTTTACCCAATTAGAATGAACGAATATAGATTTTCAAGTGATAGGCAAACACGATAAAACAGGGAGCTGTGAATTTAAAAAGTCTATCAGAAATGACACTATGATAGAGCAGTCAGAAGCGAGGAAAAGAGGGGTCACAGGGAGGGAGGAACCAAAGGAAGCTTCCTGGGCCTAGTCAGCACAGACCATCCATGCCAAGGAAGACACTGCTCAGTGTGACATCTACCTTCACCATGTCTTTTCTCTTTTTTGAGGCCTTCTCTTTTTTTTTTTTTTCCTTGGGGGTGGGGGTGGGCAGAGGGAGAGAGGCTCCATGCCCAGTGCAGGGCTCAATCTCACCATCCTGAGATCATGACATCAGCTGAAATCAAGAGTCCAGATGCTTAACCGACTGAGCCACCCAGGCTCCCTGAGGTCTTCTCTTTTAATTTTAAGAATCAAGGTGAACTGGGCCTAAGATACTGGATTCTTCTCGTGGGCGGCATAACAGAAAAATTGGAAGCATAAATGGTTATATAGGTTCTCAGTATAATCTATCATTTTGCCTTTACTAATTTTAATTTAGTATTTCTTACAGATTCTCATTTTTCTACTCCTGTGTTTCAGAGTCTGTATAAGTAGGATGCTAAGGACTCCAGTAGATTAAGGCTTGCTTGTGAACAATATATTTTTTTAAAGATTTTATTTATTTATTCATGAGAGACACACAGAGAGAGAGGCAGAGACACAGGCAGAGGGAGAAGTAGGCTCCATGCAGGAAGACTGACGTAGGACTTGATCCTGAGACTCCAGGATCACGCCCTGGGCCGAAGGCAGGCACTAAACCCCTAAGCCACCCAGGGATCCCCAAAACAACTTTTTTCTTAAGCTTGCAAACTATATTTTAAAATCATAGGGCAGCCCAGGTGGCCCAGGATTGAGTCCCGCGTTGGGCTCCCTGGGTGGAGCCTGCTTCTCCCTTTGCCTGTGTCTCTGCCTCTCTGTGTGTCTCTCATGAATAAATAAAATCTTAAAAAATAAAATAAAATCATAAAGCTCCTCAGTTTACAAAGCCCTTTTGCACCTATTTTCTCATGTAATCATCTTGCATATTAAAGAGGTATCAACCTCCTGGAAAGGTCTCACTACCCTACAAATGATGCAGGGCCCTAAGCAAACATGTGGGCCAAAGCATCCTTTACTATGGCACCCGTCACGAAGAGGGTAGGGACAGTGTGCTGAGTAAAAAGGCGGCGACCCATAGCTGTCCTCTCTCTCAGATTCTATTTCCCACAGCACTTCCCTTTACAAGAGGCCAGAGTAATTAAACCCTTAAGTCAGGTTAATTTAATTAGTGATTTTCCACAAATGAACAGAAACTCTAAACCTGCAGGGGCATTTAAAGTAGATTAACTATCCTAGTAAAGGAGAGAGAGACCCTGCTCCCATACGCTCCCCATCAGCACGTGAAATGACTGCCACCACACCTGATTAAGCCTGAGATCGAACCTGAAATACTCACACAGGTCTTAGCTCGCCCCCAACGTACTGGGTGGCCACTTTGTGACTCCCTTGCCCCCATCTCACCCTTGAACTGAATGACAAGCCCACACTCCACTCCTACAGCTCAGCTCTTGGGCTTCTCTACAGCTGCACCTGGACTATCCATGCCATGTCATCCACCACGGTGTTTTAGGCTTGGTATGTACTGAGCCCTTCTGAATGCCCAAACCACTCCAAATAGAGTTAATCTGTCTCCTCCTAAATACATATACTCTCAATCATTACAGTACAGATTCCTTGTAATAAAATTTGTACTTAAACAACAGTTCCTGAGATTCTCAAACAACTACAAACAATTGTGAGATTTGGAAACCCTAAGCATATTAGAAATGGGAGTCCTTTATTCCTTATTGCTTAGTACAAGCAAGCCTTCAGTACTCTCGAAATGAGAGGAAGCGCAAGATCATATAGATATTTTGATCATTGCAAGGCCTCTCTGAAATCAGAACTGAAGTGAGACTGTACCAGCATTCAAAGATTCAAAGAAAGAACAGCCTGTGCAAATGCCCAGGGGCAAAAAGGGGTTTGGTGTGTGCAGACAGGAGTAAAGAAACTGAAAGAACAGTAAACAAGACGCAACTCAAGTAAGTTAGAGGTAGGCAAAAGCCAGATCTGCCGAATAAAAATATGTGAATTGCATTCTATGTGCAATGAGGAGCAGTTTTACTCTCTTGTTTTATGGGAAATGACACTTATGTAAAAAAACAAAAAACAAAACAAAACAAAAAAAACTACTGCCCAGTGCAAAACAGATGATCCAGGTGAGTGGTCATGGTAGTTTGGAGTAGAGGGTAGTCATACGCAGATAAGCGGACACGTGACAGAAGTGATTTCTTTAATGGTACAAAATGTGGTATTTTTTTTTTCAAAACGTGATAATTCTTAACAACATTACGTACTAGGTTATCTCTTATAGTTCTTGTAATTCAACATGTGACTGCAAAACATTAACGCAATTCTAAACAAATCGTTCCAAAGTAGGAGTTGGGGGCAGGGGGGAGGCACGGGGAGGGTGTGTATCAAATATAGCCTGCTAACATGTTGTTTTGGCCAAGTTTACTTTTTTAGAATTTGAGTTAATTTGGTATCTAAAAATCAGTATTTCCAATTTCTCTTCAAAATCACTGTATCTGGCAACCGACCATTGGCTAGTGGCAACTGGCTAGAGCACAAGCTTTCTAGTTTACCCCAACCCCCACATCCTGTACCCTTTACTCATTCATATCACCTGCTGGAAAGATATTTCCGTTTTCCACTCTTCCAGTCTGGTACCGTAACTTAGGTGTGCCACAGGCCCTTGTTCATGTAAAAACATCCCAATTCGGATCTTGACATAGGCAGAGTCATCTCATCTTACCTTAACACACAATATTTTTTTTTAATTTTATTTATTTATTTATGACAGTCAGAGAGAGAGAGAGAGAGAGAGAGAGAGAGAGAGAGAGGCAGAGACACAGGCAGAGGGAGAAGCAGGATCCATGCACCGGGAGCCTGACGTGGGACTCGATCCCGGGTCTCCAGGATCGCGCCCTGGGCCAAAGGCAGGCGCCAAACCCCTGCGTCACCCAGGGATCCCCTTAACACACAATATTGATCACTAATTGGTTTTAAGTAGCCTGCCATCACCAGTGATAGACACCAAAATGTTAAGGTCCAGGCAGCGACAATTCCATTCTGATACAACCAAACCAGAGAGGACCAAAAAACGACAACACCTGCATGGTCTCAACATGCCTGATCCTACCAGTCAGACTTTCTCATTTTGCACACCAGGGAGCAACGCAAGTACTGTTAGACTGCAAGCTCCATCAAATGGATGTCCCTCCTCCATCAAAGCCTATGCCAGGCACTCCAAAATGTGTAAATGTAATCCAAGAGGTGCTCAGCATCTGGCCATCTATGACACACTTGTAAAGGAACATTCTCAATCTGACGACTTTTCATCCCACTAGAAAGGGGCATCTGTAATTCAAGGGATGCAGAAATGTCATTTACAGTGATCTCCAGGGTGCTGGGTGTGTGAGCGCCTACTATTCCACGCCTGAACAGTGTCGACGCTCTGAAACCTCTTGCGTCTCTACCTCTTCCACTTCATTTTCCCCTCTTCACGAACCTCACCCCACTTTCACTCCGACCAGAATAAATAAGACACCTCTATCAAAACACTGACCCGTTTTAAGTTTCCAAAATAATTTTTTGAACATTTGTAAAGTTCGGGAACTAGCAAAGTCAACCAAAACCCAACCACTTATAACGGGGGGCGGGGGGCGCGCAAAATTTCCTCTTCACGGCCTTTCCAGCGGTGCCAGCATCCACCATCCCCGCGGACCCCCCCACCCCCACGCCCCAGCTGTAGGTCCTCGGCCCCGGGTCACGCCGCTCCACCCCGCCCCCAGTCTCGTTTGCAGAACGGAGACAACAATAACCTCAGCGGGTTTTCCTCCCGTGGGGCTGCAGGAAACATGCTCGTCGCCTGGCATACACTGAGCGTCCAGCTGGGCAGCTCCTGTCAGCATCCTTGCCGTCCCGGGGCGGGGTGGGCCGGGCCGCGCTGGGCTGACAGGCGCTCGGGGAAGGTCACTCACCTGCAGGCGGACGTTGAGCATCATCGAAGCCACGATGTAAAGGTACGGGAAGTTGATGCGCAGCCGCCAGGCCAGGTCGAAGAAGATGAGCAGCGTGCGAGTCAGCCCCTTGCAGAAGACCCCATAGGAGCGGGCGGCGGCCGAGCGCGAAAGGCGGACAGCCAGGCCGGACAGAGCCGCCGCCATATAGACCGGCGCCCGCCGCCCGCCCGCCGCGCACCGACCGGCCGCGGACCCGGGCCGCCCGGCGCTCAGAAGCCCGCCCCCGCCCCTCGGCGCCGCGTCGCCCCCGGGCCTCCGCCCCGGCCGCTGGGCCGCGCTCCGCGCGCTGAGGGAGCTAGGGAGGCGGCGGCTGCGAGGCCGGGGGCGGGCGGGCCGGCTGTGGGGAGGAGAGTCGTCGCGTCACACTGGAGGATGCACCTCCGCGAGCCGCCGCCTGGTCCCAGCCCGGCCGCGCGGCCTGACGTCACAATGCCCGCGCCGCGCCTGCGCACCTCTGCTCCGCCCCCAGTCCCGCCTTCTGCCCCGCCCCCTGTCACCTTCCGCAGGTGAGGCGCGCATGCGTGGGTGAGGCGTGGCGGGATGCTCCCGCAGAGGGGCGGATACTTTGTCTCCGTCTGCCCCCTTATGGTAAGCCGGAGAATTAAAGGAGGTGAACCGTGAATTAGATTGTGCAATGTCAATGTCCTTAATAACGGAAAATTGTACATTTAAAAATTGTGAAAATAGGCAGCTCTTCCTGCCCATGGGTCCTGTCCCTGTGCTTTAATAAAACCGCCTTTTCGCACCAAGATAAATAAAACAATTGTTAGAGCAAGTTTTATGTATAATCATAATTATAAAAAGCAAACAAAGGGAGGCTTCCTGGGGCGAAGGGGCAGATCATGCTCCCCAGGTAGATGGTTTCACGACCCCAGCCATTGCTGTTCAGGGCCCACTTATATAAAATCGAATCTTCAAAAATTATGATATTAATTAAGCCCGTAGAGTGAAAAGTCAAAAGAGTGAAACTTTCAAAACTTCTAGTATTCTGTGTGTGTGTGTGTGTGCGTTTTTTTTTTTTTTACAATGAGTTTTTACATTCCTACTTCAGCATATAGGTTTCTATCAAATATTTGCATGATAAGAAGGTAGACACCTTATTTTTATTCTCAGGCCCGTATTTCACGTCTTCACTTCTGCCCACTAGTGAAAATATGGGAATTTGGTACTGGTGAGGGAAAAAGAGTTTCAATGACAAAATTAAAAGCAAATCTTAAATCCTTTAAGAAAGCAACAGCGTAGGATCCCTGGATGGCTCAGCGGTTTGGTGCCTGCCTTCAGCCCAGGGCGTGCTCCTGGGGGCTCGGGATCGAGTCCTGCGTCAGACTCCCCTCAGGGAACTTGTCTCTCTGTGTGTCTCTTACGAATAAATAATTTTTTTTTAAAAAAGAAAGCAACATTATGAAACAGATTTATTTATTTATTTATTTATTTATTTATTTATTTATTTATTTATTTATTTAGTGAAATAGATTTAAATGTAAAAATTCTGTGCCCTAAAATGGGTTTGCGTTTTTGGAAGTTATTTAAGGGGCACCTCCGTGACGAAGTCAGTTGGGTATCTGACTCTTGGTTTTCCTTTCAGTCCTGGTCTCGGGTGGTGATCTCCAGCTTGTGAAACCCAGTTCCCTGTGCTCTGCACTGAGCGCCGAGTCTGCTGGGGTTTTTTTCTCCCTCTCCCACTGCCTCTCTCTCTCTAAAATAAATAGATCTTTCTTTTTAAAGCGACTCAGGGGACGCCTGGGTGGCTCAGTAGTTGAGCATCTGCCTTTGGCTCAGGGTGTGATCCTGGAGTCCCGGGATCAAGTCCCACATCAGGATCCTTGTATGGAGTCTGTCTCTGTCTCTCATGAATAAATAAATAAAATATTTAAAAAAATAAAAGTCATTAAAAAATTCTCTACCCTAAAATAAATTCACATTCAAAATCATTAAAAGATTTTTTTTGGAGGGTGGGGGCAGCCCCGGTGGTTCAGTGGTTTAGCGCAGCCTTCAGCCTAGGGCCTGATCCTGGAGGCCCCGGGTTCCAGTCCCACATCCAGCTCCCTGCTGGATTCATTTTTATAAATAAATAAAAAATTTTTAAAAACCTACTGGTTAAGAAGAGTTGCACTTTATTCAGGGGAGTGCTTGGCTGGCTCAGTTGGTGGAGCATGCGACTCTTTTTTTTTTTTTTTTTTATGATAGTCACAGAGAGAGAGAGAGAGAGAGAGGCAGAGGGAGAAGCAGGCTCCAGGCACCGGGAGCCCGACGTGGGACTCGATCCCAGGTCTCCAGGATCGCGCCCTGGGCCAAAGGCAGGCGCCAAACCACTGCGCCACCCAGGGATCCCGTGACTCTTGATTTCCGGGTTGAGTTCAAGCCCCACCTTGGATGGGGAGATTATTTAAAAATAAAAAAATCTTGAAAAAAAGGGGAAAATTGCATTTTTTTTGATGCTCACAATACTATATTTACTATCCATTGTGTTTCGGGCCAAGACCATTTTATTTTTATTTTTATTTTTAGATTTTATTTATTTATTCATGATAGAGAGAGAGAGAAAGAGGCAGAGACACAGGCAGAGGGAGAAGCAGGCTCCATGCAGGGAGCCTTATGTGGGACTCCATCCCGGGACTCCAGCATCACGCCCTGTGCCAAAGGCAGGAACTGAACCGCTGAGCCACCCAGGGATCCCAAGGCCAAGACCATTTTAAATAGATATTTCAGGGGTTTTAGGTTCTGGATAGTTTTGTTGTTATTAAAATGATATTTTTCAAAGCATTTGCACAAATCTTTAGTTCCTCTTATTTTTGCAGCATATTTTGCCACATTTATTGCTGCCATTAAAAGCTCACTTCCCCTTTTTTTGTAAGCTATTTTTTCTCTCAGCACTCAGTGGATGCTATCTTTGAGGATGCAGAATACATGCTGCTGAGTTATCATCTGCATTCAAGCTATCCTTCCCAAAAAAGCAAAATGAACACTTCTTTATACAGTATTTAGAAAAATAAAGATTTTGAAGGCTAGAGTCTTCAGTGGAAAATTTGCCAAAGACACAAAATCAGTCTCACAATGTGTGAACAGGTTTGGAGATCAGCTGAATTTATTCTTAGACCTGTAAAATTTTTCACTGGTGGAGATTTGGCAGTCCTGTTTATTAGAAGTATGTTGAAAGACCAGATGGGCTGCAGGGATGTGAGATATGGATATATATATATATCTCCTCCCTGGTTACTCATTTCTTTTCTCTAAATGCCATTGAAGCAATGAGGCATATTTAACAAGCCATTCAGTTACCATAAACAACGGTAAACAACATCACCACACTGAGCAAGGTAAAAAGCCTTATGTAATTAGACACAATGGGAGGTTAAAGAGAACACGAAGGAATGTTAACAAGATTTGAAGTTTAATATATATCCAGGTTAACTAGTTCCAAGCTATAGAGTAGGCTGGTAAATTAGTCTAGCTTCCTGACTTAACATTTAACTCAGCCCCAATTTTCTGGCATCTCTAGGAAGACATTCTGCTAATTATAATTTGAGAACCAGGCAGAATTAATTATAAGTCAATGTGAAACGTATTTTCAGGACACCTGGGTGGCTCAGCTGTTTAGTGCCTGCCTTCGGCTCAGGGCATGATCCTGGAGTCCTGGGATCGAGTCCCATGTCAGGCTCCCTGCATGGAGCCTGCTTCTGTCTCTGCCTCTCTCTCTGTGTCTCTCCTGAATAAATAAAATCTTAAAAGAAAAAAAAGAAACGTATTTTCATAGAGGCATGTAAAGTGTATAAGAGAAGATAGGAGAAAAGATGCCAAGGCATATAAGAAAATAATTTTATTAAGCCTTGATCTAGAGGTACCAGGTGAGTTATCTACAATCTTCTTTCCTGCTGTTGGAGCAGCGACTCAGGTGAGAGAAATAGTTGTCTTTTTTCTTTCCAGCTTCAAATGATGAGAAAAGCACAGGGAAGCAGAGTTCCACCTTCAGCAACTTCTTTTAGCCCCGTGACCTGGTTCTGTAAAATGAGGATAAGGACACCCATCCTACAGGGTATTTGTGAGAAATAAATGAGAGCAAGTATGCACTGGCACTGTCCTAGGCAGATGGAGGGCACCCAGAAAGTGGTAGTTATTTTCATGCTTAGGGCCCTTGAGTCCTTGGAATACAAGTTTAGTGGCTCCATTAATAATCATAAATAGGGGCTCCTGGCTTGTTCAGTTGGCAGCACATGTGACTCTTGACCCGGGTGTCATGAGTTCAAGCCCACGTTGGGGGTAGGGCTTCCTTAAAAAGAAAAAAAAGAAATTCCAATTCTGAGGCTCTCAATGTAATAAAAAATAAAGAAATAGAAAAATATAAGGTTACCAAAAATATATATAGTTCTCAAAAAATCATTGTAATTAATAATACTTAACTATGGATCACAAGCAACCCCAAGAATGAGGCACCTCAATGATGTGGCTGGAAGAAAGGATGGACCCAAATGATCCAAAATGTTGGTCAGAAATAATTTATATTCCTTTGCTCATTCCCATGGAAACTTGGAAGGGTGGGGCGAATTTAAACATGAGAGCTCAGTTGCCATTATAAGAAAATTCAAGTTTCCAGTCTCTCACTGAAGGACCCTTTCCAGGCACTCCTATTATTTCAACAGATTAAGGTCAATGTGAATCAATGACACAGTGCTAGTATGGAGTCATTCTTAAGTGAAAAAAAAATAAGGACAAAAGTATGCAAAAATATACACATAGGGACGCCTGGGTAGCTCAGCAGTTGAGCATCTGCCTTTGGCTCAGGTTGTGATCCCAGGGTCCTGGGATCGAGTCCCACATCAGGCTGGGAGCCTGCTTCTCCCTCTGCCTCTCTGCCTCTCTCTGTGTGTGTCTCATGAATAAATAAATAATATCTTTACAAAAAAAAGATTTAAAAATCAGGGCACCTGGGTGGCTCAGTGGGCTAAACTATCTGACTCTTGATTTTGTCTCAAGTCACGCTCTCCAGGTCATTGGATCAAGCCCCACATTGGGCTCAGCATGGACTCTGCTTGAGAATCTCTCTCTCTCTCTCTCTTTCCTTTCACCCTTCCCCCAGCTCATGCTCTCTCTCTCTCTCAATAAATAAAATCTTAAAAAAGTTTTCTTGTAATCCCTAAAACTCGAAAGCAAAATGAAACAGATGAACCTGTATACCCAGTTGGTGGCATAACAGAGAGGAACCATTCCAAGAAACATTACAGCTATAATCTGTACCAAAAAAATTATAAAAAATTTAAAACTGCTATAAACTCCTAAATCATTTTCAATAATGATTTTGTTGATGGTACTATTGATATTGTTATTCTGAAACTGCTCTGTGTTTCTGGTCAGAGT